GTAAAGATGCATCTCTGAGCAGCTGATCCCTTAGTCCTCTTTATCCTAGTATTCTTCTTTGTGCATGTGACACTACTTCTGTCTTCCTAAAGCAAATGTGCTGCATTTCCCTTTGCTAACAATGCTCTTCTAGAAGAGTATGAAATGGGATCAGGAATGTCATGATACGTAAGAACTTAGAGGAGCTCAGAATCACAGAGTTCTGTGATTTGACTCAATCATGCAGAGCTGTTTGGCTGGATAAGAGCTCCACATTATAAATGCCTGACAGACTGCAGCAGAGAGGGAAACATCCATTCCACTGGCAGGAGGCAGGAATATACATCCAGCAGCAGAGGCCAAGGCTGATGGGGTACCCTGGTCCCCCCAGGCATGGACAGCCAAGTGTTGTGTTGACATGTCAGTGCTGAATTGGGCACTGCATTACTAATGCAGAGGATTATTTCGTTGCTGTTAATTCAGGCAGGACACCCAGCACAGCTTTGTGAACAGGGCTGGGGAGCTAGGCCTGGGGCCAGCAGGAGTGAAAGTGTCCTCAGTGCCTGCAGAGAAAGGAGGCATTCTTCACCTCTCCCCAACTCATCAGTTCCATGGTAATGGTGCCTCTTCTAATTAGAGCTGTTCCCGCTCTCTCTGCCAGGATGGTGTGAGACAGGAATTGCAGTGGCAAGCAGAAAACTGGAATAGCTGCAAGCTCCGGAGTGGGCATTGCTTGTTGGCTTCAGTCAAGGACATTTGCATTGGCTACAGGCTGCTCAGTCTCTGAGTGAGGCAAAATCTAGCAAAAATAGCTTCTTTGGGCAAATACACAACCAAAAGAAGAGACATCAGCTCAGACCCTAATCTAAGGGGTGAAGAGGAGGGAAGTGTGTTTGGGTAATTTCCTCTGAACCTCTTGTTAGGTTGCATCAATCTTTGTTCCCGGCAGTCTGTGCTAAGGAATGTGTTTGGATGAAAAGATGATCCAGCAGTGCCCAAGTGAGCATTGCTCTGCTGCCTCATCCCTGCAGGACAGGGACTGCAGTCCCTGCTTAAAAATTCATATTGCACCAACCTTAGCCAAGTTCAGCCTGAAACCATAGAGCAGCAGACAGCAAAACTGTTTCACAAACACCTGAGCTTAAAAGAGGGTGGGATCAGGCTTACAAAAAATGGTCTGTGTAAGAATTTCAGTTCTTAGCTCCTCAGATTTCCAGCTTGTATCCCTCAGAGGCTCTGATCTCTGCATCCTGCCAGGAGGGTGAGAGGCTGCCCTGGCTGCTGGCAGCTCTGATTTCACATCCTGGCCTCTATCTGTCCTTGCAAAAAGCATCACATTGCAAATGGGCTTTGCAACATTTCAAATCTATTTCCCTGGAACAGAGTGCCCTGCATTTTTCTGTATTGTTACAAGTCCTGCAGATCTCTGAAGGTTTGTAGCTGCTCTTCAGCATCTTGAGTCCCAGTACCTTTCCCAGAGCCTTGTGACTGCTCCTTAACTGATCCTCAGCCCTGTGCAGCCTCTGAGTGGAGCAGCAGCAGAGGACCTGAGCAGTGGCCTTAACACAGACCATGTTTTCACAAGCAGTTTGTGCCCCAGAGATCTGTGCAAGTGCCAGGAAGAAGCCCCACAGGCCTGGGAATCAAGGCATGTGCCTAGAGAGCAAGTTCTGGCTTGCTGGGAGCCACAGAAATTAGGTGGTGGGTGATGAAATTTCCTCCAAGCTTCCAGTGAGCTCTTAGATGAGAAGAGACAAGAGTACTTGTGTAAAAATGCTTCACCTGCAGTTTTCTCCCACTCAGATCTGGTGCTGACACCACTCCTGCTCTTTTAATTATGGCATTAGGGGGATAGAAACCTAATCTCCACTTGATATGTTTACATCCAAAGGAGTCATCTCATTGTGGGAGGAGCTGGAAGGAACTGCATGACCTTTGCTGTGCTGTTTTTTCAGTGTTTATGTATAAAGCTGATGTTTGATTTACCCCATTTGCTAGAAGTGTGAATTCCTTAAACCAAGTGGTTTATTGAAAGTTGAACATTTTCTGTGGACTTCCTGTCAGTCTGGATTCCACAGGAATTTGTCCACAGAAAAACCTTAGCACCTCTAAGGTGGCTCAGGTTCGACCTTTCTTCAGTCCTAACAGAAACTATTGGTGTCTGTTTTCCCACACATGTAACTGTGAAAGGCTCCTGTGAGCACAGGGCTGTGATTGTAGGTCACAACACTTGGGTCTTCCCTGTTTGCAAACCTTCCCTGGACTCCAGGTGAAGGGAGGTAGAACAGAGCTTGGATCACATTCCAGGGCCTATCAGGCTGACCTGTCTGTGTGTGTCATCAACCTGTGCACAGGAAAGAACAAAGTGATCACTGAGCTGCTCTTGCTGATAGTCTTTAACAAGAAAAACAAACTCCTACATTTTTTTCCTTCCTGCGATTGCTGCAGTTCTCCTAAAAGAGGATTTAATAGTGCTGAAAGGAAGAGGCTGGAAACTAGCCTGATAAATACTTCAGACTCCTCCATGATGCACTCCCAGAGTGAATTTAAAGCCCACGTTTCACTTTCTAGGCAGAACCAAACAATGATGAGTGTCTCTCAGAGGCAGAAAAGATGGCAATGGACTTAAAAGATCCGAATCGGCCGAGATTCACCTTGCAGGAGCTCCGGGATGTCCTGCACGAGAGGAATGAGCTGAAATCTAAAGTGTTTTTACTTCAAGAGGAGCTTTTATACTACAAAAGGTAGGTCAGGTCTCCTCTCCTGTTGCTTGCTGTACACAGGGAGCCACGGGGCAGGTCTGGGAACAAGAGATGTGCTGTGAAATGTGTCCAACAGGTTTGTATTCCTGGAAAGGGTTAAGCAGAGACTGGGAGCATATAGCTGTGGTTTGAGTCTGGTGGGAAAAACCATGTCCTTCCCTAACTCCCAGTTTTGCCCTGAGTCTTAGAAAGATTACAAACATTTAATACTTTTGAACTTCAAGAAGGAGGATAAGAGTGGGTCTAAAAGGAAAATCCCAGACCTTTTACTCAATCCATTCCTCTTCTCCCTGTTTTTGTCACATTGAACGCAGACCCAGTTCTAGCTGCTGACAGAAAAATCTTCAATTGATTCTCATGAGTTTTAAAGAGATTCTTTTGCATTCCTTCATCAACAGTACTGCCTCACATGGAATTGTACATCTCCAAGTGCTTCCATGGCTTGGGAGGAGAACATTCATTATCTTTTCTTTCTTTCAAGTGAGGAAATGGAAGAAGAAACAAGAACACCTCAGCCTATGCCCATAATTCAGCCAAAACCCTCACCTCAGCCTGAATCTGGAATCAAACGACTGTAAGTAGCATATTTTCTAAGGATACTGGATATAGTCTGCAAACACTGAATGTCTCTGATGGGTAGACAATTTTAAACACTTGAAAAACTAAGATAACCACATTCCAACTGTATATGGGAGAGGTATTGACGGAGCACTTGACAGGTATCATGAAACAGCTTTATCCAAAACTTTTGCCTAGATCTGGGACAACTTCCAGTCCCAGATTATTCCCTGTGGTACCTCTTGCTCCCCATGTGCAGACAGCAGTAGGATTCCAGCAGTGCTCCCTGTGCTGGTGTTTGTGGCCACACTGCCGTGCCAAGAAGCCCATTCCAGTTTCCTTCTGCAGTGCAGCCATTCAGGATAACCAAACAAGTGTGTGTTGCAGTGTTCTGTTACAGGCACTGTGAACTGATGAGCTCCTAAGCACAGACACCCAACCTTCCTAGGGCATTTTCTTGTCTGGGCTGTGTAGTCATACTCCAAAGGGAGGTGCTGCTAATTGTGGAGCACTGCTCAGCCTGTCCTGTGTGCCCCAAACTGAAGTCAGGGACAGATCCCTGTGCAAGGATTGTAGCACATTGTTCCCCAGGTCATGCTCAGAAGGTGTGTAAAGAGTGTTGTTCACTAGTCAAACCAGACCCTCAGCAGTCATGCATTTCCCCATGGCCTCACTGCACATTTCCCTGTTGACCAAAGCATTCAGACCTCAATCTGCACTATGTGTACAGCACATAAACCTTCTGTTTGCTGAGCAGATTTGCTGCTGGAGGGAATGGTCACTCTCCTGGCTAAAAGAACCCAACCTGCTCCTCAGGTATTTCATGTTGCTGTCTGGACCAAAGCTTACTGCCAGAGGTGTGCAGTTACTGTCACTGCATTATAAAATCACAGTGTTTGCCAATCCATTTGTCTGTTGGAGCTCCCTCCTTGTACACTTACTTATTGCAAATTAAATCTCATGACCTTATAGCAAGTCTTTGGGTTTTTGTGATACCCAAAGCTTAACTTCTTCAACTGCATAAATGATTTTGGAACAGCCATTTGTCTCCACATAAGAAGCTCTTCCATCCTGTCCCCATGTCCAGAACTTTCAGTCCTTGTTTAATAATAGCAGCAGCCCTGGGAGAGTAAGTCCCAGTGGAAAATCTCAACTGACCCAAAACACCATGAAGTCAGGAGGGCCCTGTTGATGATTTTCAGCAGATTCCAACTTCTGCCCGTGCTGGTTTGTTTGCTGACACAACCCTTCCTCTCACATGGCTAGAAAATACACTTTGAGTTTGGAGTTTTCATTCTGCAACTGTGATGATAATAATAATACTTTGTCTCACAAGATCTTCACTGCAAAGCTTCTCTTTTCTTTTACATTTTAGTCCTTTTGAACCCTTACCCCACTGTGGGGAGTGGCTGATTTCAGCTTACCCAGTTTGTGTTGTGCAGTTTCCATGTTTGACTGCAAATGATGCCTTGGAGGAAGCAAAGGCAGCAGATAAATGTCAATAGAGGTTGCAAGACAGAGCACACTCTGGGTGAGGTATTAGCTGTGACTGCCTAAGATGAAATTAGCTGTCATGCTCTGTCCCCAGGTGCCTTTCTGCTCTCTCTCCATTTACCCATCGTATTCAATAAGGGAAGATAAAACTGTCTATGTAACCTGAAAGATGGAAATAGTTTTCAGGTTTATCTTATTCTTGCAGCCTGTCCTGATAGGATTTGTCCAGTGTGGGTTTGTTTTCCTCCCCCTCTCCTCTCTCTGTGTTGCCAACAGTGTACATGGGCTTTAAAAAGGCAGGAATTTTCACTGCTGGGAAAACCAGCGAGCCCAAGTGTAGCAAATGATGTGATGGAAACTTGCAGTGCTGCTCTCTGCATGCAGAGAGCCTTTACAGGGGAAAGTGGGGCTGCCTTTCCCTCTGTCTCACACTTTTCCTGC